ATTCTATTCTTTTTGGTGCAATTGTAAATTTGTGCTGCTTCATTTTTAGTGATTAGAAACACAACACATTTTTGTAAATTAACTTCGTATTCTGTGACTTTACTGAATTCATTTATCAATTCTAGTAGTTTTTGGGTGGAGTCTTTAGGGTTTTCTATATAAAGTATCATGTCATCTGCAAATAGTCTGAGTTTTACTTCTTCCTTACCAATTTGGATTAGCCTTTTATTTCTTTTTCTTGACTGATTGCTGCTGGAAAGTTTTTTTTTTTTTTTACTTAATATAAAGGCAATATACACATGTTTTGATAAGCAGAAATATATGTTACTCAAAATGAAGAAAATTTAAAAAATCAAAGGTTCTGCATTCTCACGTTGACAATTGAATACATATTAAAGGGGAACATGTAATCAGCAAGAAACCAAAAGACAGAGAAACTGCTTTTGATCCCCTCTCTAAATATACAACACTCACTTATGTCTACATGCCTATAATCTGCGCCTTTGGGACCCAGAGGTTGAGCTAAATTACGGCTGGTGGGAAGTGGCCTGGGAGTCACTCATAAGATGGGTCTCCAAGGCTCACTAAAGTGTTACCAGAAATGTGATGATATTTGTAAACATTTATTTATTGAATCTTCTCTTGGGGAGAGTGCCATATGTGATTGGAAAACAATTACTTTGATTAGCTCCTTGGATAGGGGTGTAAAGACTCTAAAGGGCCCACTTGAGTAGCCGGATGCTGACCATCCTCCTGAAAGTGCTTGGTTAGCTGCACAGTTTTGGTTTGCTCCCTGGCGTGTGGAGGTCTGGGGCCAGAGCTGGACTGCTTAGCCCCACCGTCAGAGATCCTACTTCTCTGCTGTGTCTCAGAGCACCCAGTCTCCCTAATAAACAATTAGATAAATAATACTGAGGCAGAGGTGACCATATAATTAGCCCATCCAAGGTACTTGTCTCAGCAACCCTCAGTTATATATTTTTCCGAGATCTTGCTAAGATACAGGGATGGATACCAGATGTCTCCTCCAACCTCAAGTCAGGTGTTGAGAATGGCTTTTTTCCTTCCTGACAAATGGGTCAGTCATGTCATTACCTGTCATTGTCAACATAGAAATATAGACAGTTGTTTAAAAATGAGCGATATTGATTAGCTCTGAAAGTTAGAGAAGCTACATTTCTATGTTATCTCTATATAATCTATCAAATACCCATATAGTACTTTTTATGTACCAAGCATATTTCTAAGCTCTTTCCTGTATCTGGGAAATTTCATCACGTCTAAGACAACACTGATTATAAGATGCACTGTTATTTTACATACCACCGAGACAAACTACACCACACTATCAATTGTAAAATGCATCTCAACTCTGGAGATGTTAAATGTGAAAAATGTGTGTCTTAGACTCAATGAAACATGATGTATTAATGCACTTATCACAGGGAGGTAGGTTGCTGTCATTATTCTCATTTATAGATGAGAAAATTGAGGCACAGAGAGGTTCAACAATTTTCCCAAGATCACAAAGCCAGTAAGAGGATCCAGCATTTGAACTGAGACGGTCAAACTCCAGAATGCAAGCTCATAACCACGATACTCTTCTCCCTATAGATATGAAGAGCCAAAGAAGGTTTAAGAAAAATTCATCTTTATTTTTATTGATTCATTTATTTTTTATGGAGGTTTATCAGAAAAATTATTTGAAATATTTCTCCACACAAGGGATTCAAAGTTATTCCTGCCTCAGTAATCCTCTAACATCTGAACAAGTATCCAGAGGCAGCAGAACAATCCAGAAGTACCCAACAGCTATGTGGGTCAGGTGCATTTTCTTTAGCATAAGCTAACGGGCAAGGTGTGTGTGTCTGTGTGCATCCAAATGCTGCTTCTATGAGAACAGAAGTTGTCTAATTATTACTTTTAGGCATCATCCAACATTTAGCTTTGCTAGAAAGAAGACAGCTCTGCCCCAAGTTTAGGTGAGCATGACTCAGCCTCCGCTTGGCATGGGTGTCTACAGCTGGGTTGGCTCAGACGCCTTCTGCCGCTCACCGGAGTAATGAGCCAGGCATGCTTTCTTAGATTTAGTCATTATTAGGGAAATAAACCAGGCATTCTAACCCAAATAGGAGCTATTCCTCAACCTCCTCATTTCTACTGATCCACATGGGGCTAACTTGCTCATGATTTGTCAATTTTGTACAAGTACTAGACGATCCACAGACAGGAGAGCCAAAAAGTTGGCTAGAAATTAATTATTCTGGTTTCCGAGCCATCGTTTCAACACATCTCATCATCGAGTATGGTTTCTCACTGTCCTCATCTTTCCAGAGCTTCTCCTCCCCAGATTAGCCTTCTCTGCCCTTCCAGCATGTAGCACTTCCCTTAAAGAGCACGTCTCCCACTGTATTGTAATTGCTTGTCTGTCTTCCCTGCCTATTTTAAGTTCTGTGGTGCAAAGGTCTGCATCAGTCTTGCATTGGGATGAAGTCTGTGTTACAGAAAGTTCCCAGCGTTGCCTTCCCTGGTTTGAGGCAGAGCCGGTGCCCAGGATCCACTACCTTCTGCTTTCCATCCTGCTTACCTGTGTAGCCCTTTGAGGTGCTAGCATGGGTGCTGTGAGGGGCGGGGGAGCCAGGTCTAACTTTACCTGCCATACCTCCAGCCCCCAAATACTCAGCATCTAGCACAATGGCTGGCTCATGGTAGATGTTTTAAAAACATTTGAAAATGAATGAATGAACTACAGGAGTGAGAATCCAAATAAAATTTTATGAAAAAATTTTTTTGGTTTCATTCATTCATTTACTCGCTCATTGTATTAAGTCATTACCCTATAACAGGCACTGTGTGTTTCTTCTCTCTCTCTAATATTTTATTTTACTTTTGAAAGACAGTATGCGCATGTGTGCACATGCAAGCAGGACAGGGGCACAGAGAGAGGGGGAGACAGAGGATCCAAAGCACGCTCTGTGCTGACGGCAGAGAGCCCATCAATGCTGGGCTTGAGTTCACCAACCATGAAGTCGTCACCTGAGCCAAAGTCAGATGCTTAGCTGAGCCACCCAGGTGCCCTGCACTATGTATGTTTCTGGGAGTGTGTGTGTGTGTGTGGGGGAGAATAGCAATTAGATACAGGGGAAATACTCAGCTTACCAGGCACCATCAGATGGGGCCCTTAACCTCATGTAGGGTAGCAGCAGAGTGACGGGATAGGACAAGCTTGTCAGGAAGGTGGGTGACTTGTAGAACAAATGTTTAGCCAGACCACGTGGATGAGGGGGTTGGGGGGTGATAAATGAAAGGAGTGAAGGAACTGGAATGCGTGACATGTGTGGTGAGAATTCCAGGCCAACAAAATTAGTTTATGATGCAAAGGCTCAGGGACAAAAGAGGGCATCGTCATTCAAGGAACTGCAAAGAACACTGCTTAGTGCTTAGGGGTGAGTGGGAGGCGAGCCGAGGGAGCACAGGGGCCAGATCTCAGTGCTCATGGGGTTCAGCAGGGAAAGGAGTCAGGCTGCAGAGAGGAACTGAACAACTGTATGAGTTGAGTGACACGGTTAGATTTATTTTAGGAAGTCACTCCAGCTGGAGAATGGATGAGAGGGGATGAAGGGATAAAAATCGGATGTGAAACTAGGCTAACTTGCTCTAAAGTGGTGATGGGAGGGGGGTGAATTGTCATCAGAGCATGGAGATGGGGGCAGGGGTGCGGAGAAGTGTCTAGTTTGGCTGCTACTTTCAAACAAACTGGGGGGGAAAAACAACCAGATGGTAGAAGTGTAAGTAGAATGTCATTTTACTTCACATCAACCATCAAAATCTTTTTCCTCTTCAAGTTTTTGCTGGAGGCTATCAACTGAAGCCTAAGAGGATCTGATGTGAAGACTCCTCCCTGGGAGAAGAGTCAGTGGAAAACAAGGACCAGAGGCGACCAAACAGGGAGAGAGCAGTGACCAATGGATGCGCTGTGCGTCACACATTGAGATGTCCCTCACAATGGCCATGCCTTGAAATGAGCAGTCAGCAAAAACCTCAGTTAGATCAAGGCACTTCCACCCTGTAGCAGGTTTCAGAATCTTGGGGTGAGGATGTGTGTCATTTACAAAAGTAAGCGCGATATTATAATTTTATCTTCGGAAGGCAAGCAAGTTGAAAGGGGTCAGTTTCTCAAAGATCCATATACCGTTTTTAATGACTCCTATTTCTTTGATTAACGAGTAGGCTTCCTGCCGCAGGGACGCTGTTCTTGCTCACCCTTGTGCCCAGCCCAGGCTGGCGTGAAGACACTCCGCGTGATGGATGAAGCAATGAATCAAAGAAACCCAACCACCAGCGATGTTGGCTGGTGTCCTTTCTCGGTTTTGGTTTTGTTTCTAAGCCTTCAGGGCTGCACTGTCTGCCGCGGTTAGGAACTTCCTATCACAGGATTGCTCAGTTTGAGTCTCGGGGCTTCTGATCCGCTAAAATGACATCACAGTTTTACAGGTGTGCGCGCAGTTGGGCCTTTTCGCTTTGCACTAGATTTCAGAGTGGAGGGTCTCTGCCCATTCGCCCCCAAACAGCCACCGTTCTGCGCGCATCTCACGCCGCCCCTCTGCATCGCCGAAGGCTCCCGGAGCGCGCCGGCTCCAGAGGCTTCTCGGCGCCCCGCCCAGGGGACCGTCGCTTCCCAGCCCCCTGGGATCCGGCCGACCCGACGCTAGTCTCCCACCCTTGGGGCGCGTCCCCGCGGCCTGCAGAGGCAAGGCGGCGCGGCGGCAGTCCGGGGGGCGCGCCGGGGACGCCGCCGTACCCCCGGAGCCGCGACCCCGGCCTCCGCGGCCATCTTCGGCGCGGGCGGGCGCGTGGGAGGGAGGGAGGCGCGGCCTCCGGCCTCGGGCCCGCCCCCGCCGCGCAGCCCGCCCCCGAGCGCTCGCCCTGCCGCGCCCCGCCGCGCCGCGCCCGGGTCCCGACTTCCCCCTCCGGCCCGGCCCGCAGAGCCCGCGCGCCCCCCGGCCGGCCGCCGCTCGGCCCCGCCGCGCTCGCAGAGGCCGCCATGCGGCCCGCGCGCTGGCTCGCGCTGGGCAGCCTCCTCGCCCTGGCGGTGCTGCTGGAAGGCCGGCTGGTGGGCGAGGAGGAAGCCGGCTTCGGCGAATGCGACCGCTTCTTCTATGCCGGGACCCCGCCGGCGGGGCTGGCGGCCGAGGCCCACGTGAAGATCTGTCAGCGCTCCGAAGGCGCGGAGCGCTTCGCCACCCTGTACAGCAGCCGGGACCGCATCCCCGTGTACTCGGCGTTCCGCGCGGCGCGCCCCGCGGCTGGCGGCGCCGAGCCCCGCTGGCTGGTGGAGCCGCAGGTGAGAGAGCGGTGCCGGAGCCCGGGCGCGGGACTAGCCCCCGAGGGCGCTTTGCAACCTCCGCGCGGGCGAGCGCGCGGGCGGGGGCGCGGGCGGGAAAGGGCGGCCCCCGCGTCTTAGCGGCTAAGGTCTGGAACCCCCCCCCCCCGCGATGTGTCCAGTGAGAGGTGGTTCTCCCCTACAATTAGGAGTAGACATCTGCAGTGTCTCATTCATTTCCTGATCAGCGGAAAGCCTAGGCTGGGAGCTCACAGGACTTGGCACAGGTCGTTGCCACAGTTCTTTGGGCCTGGGTAGGTGGGTGGGCGTTTTCATGCCCCTTTTGCAGAAGAGGAGATCAAGGCCCAGGGAGTCTGCCCAGCTGGTAGGATGGGGCAGGTGTTTTGGCTAGAAGTTCACTGCCCTTTCTGCATTTAAAAGCTTATCTTGGGGCGCCTGGGTGGCTCAGTCGGTTAAGCGTCCGACCTTGGCTCAGGTCATGATCTCACGATTCGTGGGTTTCGGCCCCACGTCGGGCTCTGTGCTGACGGCTCAGAGCCTGGAGCCTCTTTCAGATTCTGTGTCTCCCTCTCTCTCTGACCCTCCCCTGCTCACGTTCGCTCGCTCGCTCGCGCTGTCTCTCTCTCAGAAATAAATAATAAAACATTAAAAAGATTTAAAAATAGCTTGTCTTCTGCACAGAGCACCTGAGCCTAAAAACCCCGTGTGCACACGACATCGAGTAAATTCAGTCTGAAGTTACGTTGGTTAGGACCATAAAGGCACGTATTTGTAGAAATGCAATGGGATAGTTACAAGCAGTAGGGAAACTATCGCCAACTATTGGGAAGGGCAAACAAGTTTTACCTGACTCTTCCTAGCTACATTATCAGACCACGTGGAAGTCACGTCATGAGTGTTCTGTACTGTCTGGTGAGGGTGACCAAACACTGCGAAGGGTCCCCCGAGGCCCTGCTGAGCCTGCCTTAACACATCCTGCCCCACCTCTGCCTATAGCCACCCTTTTCCCTGCAGGCCCAGCCAGGCTCCCCTTTGGTCACTTCTCACTGACTCCCATTTGTCTCCTGCACCTGTCCCAGCCCCCCAGGCCGCCCAAGGTGGGGGCAGAGCTACTCACTCAGCCCACCCATTCTTGATAGGCACAGCTGGCCAAAACCACATGGGTGAACAGAGTGGCTTTCAGGGGCTTCATTCAGAGCCCTGGGTTGTAATCCCTGTAATGTCATTCAGATATTTCTTGGCCGGGTCTCATGCACTCTTCACCTCAGTCTCCCTATCTTCCTCTCCACATCCATTCCATAGCCTAGGATATCAGGATGTATGAGATCAGACATTTGAAAAAGGCTTTGTAAGTTGTACACACTTAAGGCATGGACTGATCTAAAATTAGTTGGCCGCCAGCTGCACCCCTCGAGCTCTCTGCATATCCCCCAGTTCGTTATGCATCACGATTGTGGGCCCATCAAGAAACATGATCTAGTCCTTTCTCCTTGAGAATCTTATGGACGGCTTAAGGAGACAATAGGCATTGTGAGGAGGACACAGGGATGCATGCTAAACAAATTTCAGTTCAATTCAGAGCACATTTAGTAATCGCCTGCTGGGTGCCAGGCTCTTAGGGCACCGGGAGAACAGAGGGTGTCTCTTGAGCTCTGAGGCTTCCTAGTGTGCAGGTGAAGAATTAGCTGATGAGAGCCAGGCTGTGTGGGTTTGAGAATCAGCCCCTCTCTTGAGTAGCTGTAAACCTGGACAGGTTATCTTGGACAGGGCTAATGACGGGTGGTCTTGAGGATTACCTGAGTTACTATATAAAGTTCCCTGAGAGACGCCTGGCATATACATACTAGCTGTTCTTAGGACATAAGCAAAACCCATAAAGGTAAACAAAATCCTACTGGGTTTCATCTGTCTCGAGGGAAAGCCTTAGGGTCAGGGCGACATTTGGGCTCTGCCTGGAAGGCTGAGGCAGAGTTCAGAAGAGAGACAGAAAGGAGGAGGAACATCAAGACTGAGAAATGCGGATTCAGGGGTTAGTGCGCGCGGAGGGGCTGGGAGGGTATGTATGTTACAGTCTGCCCAAGTGTGCAGAATAAAGGGCAATAAGGAAGAGAAGGTCGGGTATGAAGGAACGATTAAGGAAGGTTTAGTGAGGCAGAGCCATTTATGCACTTACAGAAGGAGTCACCCAGGCGGTGAACCCCCCTCCCCAACCCCTGCCCTGGGCCCCTGGGGGCAGGAAATGAGGAATGGGATGCGAGAGGAGGGGGGAAATTGTTCCAAATGGCACCTCGAGAGCTGAGATGAGCAGTGTGGTTTGGAGAAGTGGGGGAGGTCCCAGCTGGGGAGCAGCTCAGAATGGTGGCTGTGGCTCATGCTTTTCCCTGCAAGATGGGCTTGGGTCCCCCTCCTTCCCACGCCAGCCTCGGTGAAGCGGGCCAGGAGCCAGAGGGTATGAGGAGGCAGGGAAGGAGGGAGGGAGGAGGAGATGCAGGCAGGCTCCGGCACGCTGCAGGGCACACTGCGGCAAACCTAACCCCCCTGCAGCCCGAGGCCTGCTCTCCGCCAGGGTCCCCCCTGCTGGACGACAGAACTGCGATGCTCGGGGCGCACTGTGGACCAGCTGCTTTAGAGCACTCTGTAATGCTCAGTTGCCTTGTGCCCGCATTACCTTTTTATGAGGTCAGCCTTACCGAGAGCTGACGGGCAAGGGAGAGGCAGAAGACGAAAGGAGCTCCGTGCTTGTCTGGGGTGATGAGTCAGGCGGGGCTGCCCGGAGCCCCGCGGCTCTCCCACAGCCCAGTTCAGCACCTTTCGTAGCTGGCCTGCAGTTTCCCTTGGGAAAACACTCCTAAATTGAAGATCATGGAGACTTAGTCACTCTTGTGCTTAAAACGCATAAGGTGTTGGCTGCCCTGCTCCCACAGGGCAACGTTCATTCCGCAGCATGCAGTTTACAAGGCTCTCCGTGCGTGCCCTGGCTCCTGTCTCCGGCTCCAGCCTTGTTCTCACTCCTCCCCACCCTCACAGTCTATGTTCTAGCATTATCCGGCTGCCTGGCCTGCCTCTCATAAAGCTGTACTGTTTGTCACTTCTGCTTCTGTACTCATGCTCATTCCTTTTTTTAAAACATTTTTTTTGAAATTATTCATTTTTGAGAGAGAGAGCATGCTTGAGCATGAGCAGGCGAGGGGCAGAGAGAGAGAGGGAGTCCCAAGCAGGCTTTGCCCCGAGCCTGACATGGGGCTCAAACTCATGAACCATGAGATGATGACCTGAGCTGAAGTCAAGAGGCAGACGCTTAAATGACGGAGGCACCCAGGCGCCCCCATGCTCATTTCTTGTGCCCAGAATCCTTTCTGTAGTGCCCCCATCTTGCCCCTCACGTCTTCTTCTCCTCCAGCCTTTAAGACCGCTCAGGTGTCACAGCTTCCGGAAAGAATTGCCCACCTGATTTTGGTCCACTGCTCGGTGCTCCAGGAATTTTTCTCTGTTTTGTACTTCCCACATTGTTTTGTGATTACGTACGTATGTGTCTGTCCCAGTGGCCCTTGAGAAGTGAATGCTATACCCTTACTCGTCATGCTTATGTTCCTGAGTGTCTGGGACCCCGAAGGTCTTAATAAGTGTTGAATAAAATAATTCCCTGTTAGGCTCAATCAGGCAGCAGCGGGGGAGATTCTCTGCCTGAGCCTTCTTGGGGGGACATGTACGACTTCAGAGGCTTGCCCCACAGCTGGCCAGCAGCCACTAATACAAACATGTCCCCTATGCAGAGCTGGAACCTTCTTCTAAGTCCATGCCATTAGTCCTTGCTCTGGCCTTTGGAACCCAAATGATTTGGATCTCCTGTCTAGACAACAGCTCTTTGGTGTCAGATACAGGATCCCCATGTCCGCCCCCGCAGGAGGAATTTAAATGGGATCTTCTAAGGCACAGAAGGAGAACTTTAAAAGGAAGCAGAGAAAACAGAGGATGGTTGTCGGTTTTATGTGGAATGTGGTTTAATATGAGAATGGAGAAAAGGCGAAAAGAGAGATGAGAAAATCCCACTAGCATGATGGACGTGGTTTGGAAGGTTTCCAGTCAAGACTCCAGAGTCTTGAGAACTGGGTTCTGGTTTGGTACCTTTTAGTCTCTCAGTTCCTTTCCATTTAACGGAAGAGCTTTTTGGATAAGGTATCAGCGATGCCTTTCACGTACATTGTCACTTCATGCTGGAGACCAACATTTAAGATCCTTCCATTTTTTAAACATGAATATTGAATGGATCTGGCTTACACTTACTTAATCTTATAAAAATACTCTGATATCTTGTAGAGATGAATAGAGGCTAACTGATGTGCCCAATGTCACAAGTTTGGATTTGAACTCATGACTATTTGCTCTTAGTTCAAGGCTCTTTCAATACCTCATGGAGATTTTTGACCTCACAGTGGATCCCCTGCATTAATGGTCACGGGGCTTTAATCCTCCTCTTTTATACGGGGATCTTAATTTCTACTCCATTTCTGTTTCCCAGTTGTCGCAGGACATGTGGGAGCATATATTTGGCCACATGAATGTTGCCTGGGTGTCGGTGGCTCTGGAGTAAAGGTTATGTTCTGGTGAACTACAAAAGCATTTTCCTAAAGGCTCTGATGAGGTCATATTTCAAATCTTAGTAAATGTGAACAGTGGCCACAACTTAGAACCTTGATGAATTTCTGGATCTTTCATTTCTATCAGTGGCTGCTTGCCTACAAGCCCTGAAACTGTGAGACACACTCTTTATTCTAATATCAGTCTTTTTATCGTTATGTCAGAGAACGGGTACATAGAAGACATCATACACTTAAATCCCTGTACAGCAAACAGGACAATTCTGAGACATACTTTCTAGTAGAGAGACTTGAATTCAGACCCCTGCTCTGCCACTTGTAAGCTATGTGACCTTAAATTCCTCCAGCCCTGGTTTGTTTGTTTTTTTTTCTTTTATCTGTTCATTAAAGGAAATGACAGTG